GTGTGGCCCTCTTATGCCCTCTTGGTGGTGTGGCCCTCTTGTTGGTGTGTGGCCCTCTTGTTGGTGTGTGGCCCTCTTGTTGGTGTGTGGCCCTCTTGTTGGTGTGTGGCCCTCTTGTTAGTGTGGCCCTCCTGTTGCTGTGGCCCTCTTGCTTGGTGTGGCTGCTTATTCTTAGGGATATCCCTGCGTGGGCCCTAAGCTTGTCGCTGGCCCATCAATTGTTGCTTGTTTCTGTTTTACTTGGGCGGAGTATGAGTATTTATGACTCGTATGGTCGCTTCAGTAAGATTTTGCCCCATGTGTTTAACAACTTCTGCTCTGTTGAATCCAAGTTGAAATCTTAATGGGTTTGTGACTGTGCACTGTGTTAGATAATGTTCCAGTGGTCTGTCGGGCATTTCTCCACAGTGCTGACATTTCCTCTCATCTTCCGGAACCTGTAAGCCTATTTCCCATGCACTTGGGTATCCAAGCCTGATGCGATGTAAGTGTACTTCTGTTGTTGTTGATGTGCTGGCTGGCTGGCCTAGCTAGCCTGGCTGGCTGGCTGGATGTTTGACCCGTTACCTGGCCAAATAACGGGAATACTATCTATCTTGATAACTGGAAGACCCGTTAGTTGAAGAACAGCAAAAGTCCAGGGATATGTCAATACTGACAGCTATGGCTTCTTCCGCCATACAAGTACCTTAATACATTCTTGTTGATAAAACCTATATAAGAACTGGAGACATTCCAGTCCCGCCGGGAGTCATTCAGCGTCCAGTTTGTATGACTGAGGATGATGACCGTTAACCTTGAACCCCGTACAAGGTTACCGCAAAATAAAGCATTATGCAATGGTTTATTTTCACTGCATAACATTCGGTGTGTACGTTTGCACCTTTAACCTACAAAATATGGAGTCGTCAAGTGTGAGGACAGGTTGAATGATGAACAAATTGTTGTAAAACTGGTTGTATTGTAGGAACTAGTGCCGGGCGCCTGTGATCAAATATTAACGGGGTGAATAGTTAAACACCTGGTGAGGCAGCGTTCACTCATGTGGGTTACATGTCATCACATGAACACTCGACGCCTCATGGGCATGTGGAGAGAGGCGTTCACTCATGTGAGCCACATGACATCACATAGCTCACACTTCCTGGGTATGAGAAGGGGCCAGCACCCATGTCCCTGGCCTCCTGGGTATGAGAAGGGGCCGGCACCCATGTCCCTGGCCTCCTGGGTATGAGAAGGGGCCGGCACCCATGTCCCTGGCCTCCTGGGTATGAGAAGGGGCCGGCACCCATGTCCCTGGCCTCCTGGGTATGAGAAGGGGCCAGCACCCATGTCCCTGGCCTCCTAGGTATGAGAAGGGGGCCGGCACCCATGTCCCTGGCCTCCTGGGTATGAGAAGGGGCCGGCACCCATGTCCCTGGCCTCCTGGGTATGAGAAGGGGCCAGCACCCATGTCCCTGGCCTCCTGGGTATGAGAAGGGGGCCGGCACCCATGTCCCTGGCCTCCTGGGTATGAGAAGGGGCCGGCACCCATGTCCCTGGCCTCCTGGGTATGAGAAGGGGCCGGCACCCATGTCCCTGGCCTCCTGGGTATGAGAAGGGGCCAGCACCCATGTCCCTGGCCTCCTGGGTATGAGAAGGGGGCCGGCACCCATGTCCCTGGCCTCCTGGGTATGAAAAGGGGCCGGCACCCATGTCCCTGGCCTCCTGGGTATGAGAAGGGGCCGGCACCCATGTCCCTGGCTCCTGGGTATGAGAAGGGGCCAGCACCCATGTCCCTGGCCTCCTGGGTATGAGATGGGGCCGGCACCCATGTCCCTAGCCTCCTGGGTATGAGAAGGGGCCGGCACCCATGTCCCTGGCCTCCTGGGTATGAGAAGGGGCCGGCACCCATGTCCCTGGCCTCCTGGGTATGAGAAGGGGCCAGCACCCATGTCCCTGGCCTCCTGGGTATGAGATGGGGCCGGCACCCATGTCCCTAGCCTCCTGGGTATGAGAAGGGGCCGGCACCCATGTCCCTGGCCTCCTGGGTACGTGTGTACAGATGAACAAACACTTCAGTGCGACACTTTCCCTTGGTTGAGAGAAGAAAGTGAAGATTTATGGCGTAGTGATGTTATTGTTCTGCTCGGAACCTTATACTAATTTGATGGTTATATTAAATTATAATGAACTATTCCATTGTTTACCTTATATTACTTCTTGTTTCCATTATATTGCACATTTTACAAATGTAATCAAATACATTAGACTGTTCTCTCTCTCTCTCTGTTGATTATTTCGTTTAAAACGCAGCTGTTTTGTAACAGCTGTAAACCAGAAACGTACGGTAAAACGGTAAAAAAACAAAAAAACAGAAACGGTTTTGCCTAACCAGAAACGTAGGAACGCAGGCAACGCAACCCACCTAACCTATCGAGGTCGATTCATAGAAAATGTCATTGTTGCTGGGCTTTAATGTTTACTAATACATTTCATTATGGACGGACTAGTCGGTGGCGTTAAGGATGCAACCTGCTCTCGCACAAGACAGCACATATATGACTTATTGCTTATAGTCAATATTTCGCTTATAAGTATATATGTGACATATTCCTAACCATATTTTTTTTCAAGGCACTAACTTTTTCTCTCAGAGTTTTATTAAACAATAGAGATTAGATACAAAATTTGACAATATCCTGAGTTATTTTACAATTTATTTAAATATTTTAGTTTTGTTTTATTATTTTTATAAAACTGTAATATCAATATAGGTATAGGTTCAGTACTAATTGTAATATCTTAACATACTAAGAAGGTTAGGTTAGGTTGTGGGTTTTCTATTCAGCTTTTCAAGGTAAACACAAATATTCACAATAAATTAGTATGTCACATATGCACTTATTCATAAGCAAGATATTGACTATAAGCAAGTGCGAGAACGGGTTGAAGAATCTGATAAAATCCGTTCGATGCTAGTGTGCACCTGTGGAAGCCGTTGTTGGCATACACAAGTGTGTGTGGCGGAAAGTGTGTAGAAGTATGTGTAGAATAATAAACCCCACATTGTTGGAGTTAGGAAAACACTATTTGTCAAATATTGATACTGTTCTTAAAAGATTTCCCCATTTTGCACCCGCAAGATAACGTAAGCTTTTAAGGGTTGATAGATGTTAATCTTCTTGTTTGAGGAGCTGTTCACTTGAGACAGTTAAGCAAGTCCCAGCTGTGTCTGGGTACAAGTGACAGGATGAACAACCCAGCGGGTTTTCTTCCTATTGGGGAGTGTTGTACATGCTGCTATGGCGGTGTGTCTACTCACAAGATGAGTGGCGCTGCCCAATACTGTCACTATGGCGGTGTGTCCACTCACAAGATGAGTGGCGCTGCCCAATACTGTCACTATGGCGGTGTGTCCACTCACAAGATGAGTGGCGCTGCCTAATACTGTCACTATGGCGGTGTGTCCACTCACAAGATGAGTGGCGCTGCCTAATAAACTCGCCCCTCGGGGCAAAATTTATAAAAATTTAAAATGTGTGAGAGAGCAGAGGACGGTGTAGGAGCGTGTGGCTGCTCGCGGGACCCTCAGTCTTCATCACCAAAATAAGAGCAGCCTTGTGAATACCAGACTGTTGTGGTGAGCACTCAATGGCCGCACGTCCCTCAACGGGACTCAAAGCCCACACCATAAAATATTCCAGCGTGTGTGTGTGTGTGTGTGTGTGTGTGTGTGTGTGTGTGTGTGTGTGTGTGTGTGTGTGTGTGTGTGTGTGTGTGTGTGTGTGTGTATTTACTGTTTGTATCTGGAGAATCAAGCTACTTAGCTCTTAGACCCCACCTTTCTAGCCAATGTTTTTCCCCTCTTTATAATGTTTACAATATATATTTCACTCTAACACACGCAACACACACACACATATCCCCAGGAAGCAGCCCGTATTAGCTGTCTAACTCCCAGGTACCTATTTACTGCTAAGTGATCAGGGGTGAAAGAATCTCTGCTCATTTGTTTTCGCCTCTGCCGGGAATCGAACCCGGGTCATTCGGACTATGACCCCCTAGCCCTGTCCACTCAACCGCGAAGCACCCCCCCCCCCGTGTTGAGGGGTGCTGGGGGGTGGGGGGTATTGGAAAGCAAATATTGTGGGAGTGGAGACTTTGAGCGGTGTGTGTGGCTGCTACATCCTCTTGACCGCTACTGTAAAGGACCTGCTTTGGAAATTATAGTTTTGGGCCTTGTGGTGCGAGTTTGCACTGGCTTATTGTGAGTTTTTCACCGCTTGTTGCACTGGCTTATTGTGAGTTTTCACTGCTTGTTGCACTGGCTTATTGTGAGTTTTTCACTGCTTGTTGCACTGGCTTATTGTGAGTTTTTCACTGCTTGTTGCACTGGCTTATTGTGAGTTTTCACTGCTTGTTGCACTGGCTTATTGTGAGTTTTTCACTGCTTGTTGCACTGGCTTATTGTGAGTTTTTCACTGCTTGTTGCACTGGCTTATTGTGAGTTTTTCACCGCTTGTTGCACTGGCATATTGTGAGTTTTTCACTGCTTGTTGCACTGGCTTATTGTGAGTTTTCACTGCTTGTTACACTGGCTTATTGTGAGTTTTCACTGCTTGTTGCACTGGCTTATTGTGAGTTTTCACTGCTTGTTGCACTGGCTTATTGTGAGTTTTCACTGCTTGTTGCACTGGCTTATTGTGAGTTTTCACTGCTTGTTGCACTGGCTTATTGTGAGTTTTCACCGCTTGTTGCACTGGCTTATTGTGAGTTTTCACCGCTTGTTGCACTGGCTTATTGTGAGTTTTCACCGCTTGTTGCACTGGCTTATTGTGAGTTTTCACCGCTTGTTGCACTGGCTTATTGTGAGTTTTCACTGCTTGTTGCACTGGCTTATTGTGAGTTTTCACCGCTTGTTGCACTGGCTTATTGTGAGTTTTCACTGCTTGTTGCACTGGCTTATTGTGAGTTTTCACCGCTTGTTGCACTGGCTTATTGTGAGTTTTCACTGCTTGTTACACTGGCTTATTGTGAGTTTTGCACTGCTTATTGTTTTTCACTGCTTGTTGCACTGGCTTATTGTGAGTTTTCACCGCTTGTTGCACTGGCTTATTGTGAGTTTTCACTGCTTGTTGCACTGGCTTATTGTGAGTTTTCACTGCTTGTTGCACTGGCTTATTGTGAGTTTTCACTGCTTGTTGCACTGGCTTATTGTGAGTTTTCACCGCTTGTTGCACTGGCTTATTGTGAGTTTTCACCGCTTGTTGCACTGGCTTATTGTGAGTTTTCACCGCTTGTTGCACTGGCTTATTGTGAGTTTTCACCGCTTGTTGCACTGGCTTATTGTGAGTTTTCACCGCTTGTTGCACTGGCTTATTGTGAGTTTTCACCGCTTGTTGCACTGGCTTATTGTGAGTTTTCACCGCTTGTTGCACTGGCTTATTGTGAGTTTTCACCGCTTGTTGCACTGGCTTATTGTGAGTTTTCACCGCTTGTTGCACTGGCTTATTGTGAGTTTTCACCGCTTGTTGCACTGGCTTATTGTGAGTTTTCACTGCTTGTTGCACTGGCTTATTGTGAGTTTTCACTGCTTGTTGCACTGGCTTATTGTGAGTTTTCACCGCTTGTTGCACTGGCTTATTGTGAGTTTTCATTGCTTGTTGCACTGGCTTATTGTGAGTTTTCACCGCTTGTTGCACTGGCTTATTGTGAGTTTTCACTGCTTGTTACACTGGCTTATTGTGAGTTTTCACTGCTTGTTGCACTGGCTTATTGTGAGTTTTCACCGCTTGTTGCACTGGCTTATTGTGAGTTTTCACTGCTTGTTGCACTGGCTTATTGTGAGTTTTCACTGCTTGTTGCACTGGCTTATTGTGAGTTTTCACTGCTTGTTACACTGGCTTATTGTGAGTTTTCACTGCTTGTTGCACTGGCTTATTGTGAGTTTTCACCGCTTGTTGCACTGGCTTATTGTGAGTTTTCACTGCTTGTTCCACTGGCTTATTGTGAGTTTTCACCGCTTGTTTCACTGGCTTATTGTGAGTTTTCACTGCTTGTTACACTGGCTTATTGTGAGTTTTCACTGCTTGTTGCACTGGCTTATTGTGAGTTTTCACTGCTTGTTACACTGGCTTATTGTGAGTTTTCACTGCTTGTTACACTGGCTTATTGTGAGTTTTCACTGCTTGTTGCACTGGCTTATTGTGAGTTTTCACTGCTTGTTGCACTGTCTTATTGTGAGTTCACTGCTTGTTGCACTGGCTTATTGTGAGTTTTCACTGCTTGTTGCACTGGCTTATTGTGAATTTTCACTGCTTGTTGCACTGGCTTATTGTGAGTTTTCACTGCTTGTTGCACTAGCTTATTGTGAGTTCACTGCTTGTTGCACTGACTTATTATGAGTTCACTGCTTGTTGCACTGGCTTATTATGAGTTTTCACCGCTTGTTGCACTGGCTTATTGTGAGTTTTCACCGCGTGTTGCACTGGCTTATTGTGAGTTTTCACTGCTTGTTGCACTGGCTTATTGTGAGTTTTCACCGCGTGTTGCACTGGCTTATTATGAGTTTTCACCGCTTGTTGCACTGGCTTATTGTGAGTTTTCACCACTTGTTGCACTGGCTTATTGTGAGTTTTCACCGCGTGTTGCACTGGCTTATTGTGAGTTTTCACTGCTTGTTGCACTGGCTTATTGTGAGTTTTCACCACTTGTTGCACTGGCTTATTGTGAGTTTTCACCGCGTGTTGCACTGGCTTATTGTGAGTTTTCACTGCTTGTTGCACTGGCTTATTGTGAGTTTTCACCACTTGTTGCACTGGCTTATTGTGAGTTTTCACCGCGTGTTGCACTGGCTTATTGTGAGTTTTCACTGCTTGTTGCACTGGCTTATTGTGAGTTTTCACCACTTGTTGCACTATATTGTGAGTTTTCACCGCGTGCGTGTTGCACTGGCTTATTGTGAGTTTTCACCACTTGTTGCACTATATTGTGAGTTTTCACCGCTTGTTGTGAATTTAGCACCTCTTACTATGAGCCTTGCATTGCATAGTGCAAGTGTTCTAAGGTGTTGCAGTCATTAGTGTGACTAAACTGCCTGGTGTCAGTCGTCCACCACCCTGCCGGCACTTGGGGCGCGACTGAACATCCCGCCAAACACACACCGAAACTACGACGTTGGTACAACGTTCGAACGAGTTTTAACACCTCCTAACCAGTTATAACAACCAATATAGCGAGTTGTAACAACGTTCTAATACGTCACAAACACGTTAAGCCAAGATGTAACAACTTTATTACAAGTTGTAACAAGCGGAAAATAGAGACAGTTACGGTTTGTGTTTCCAGGGATGGCTCCCAAAACCCCATCAACCAGGTAACCAGGCTGTAGTTCAAGGTTCATTGCTCTGATGACTTCAAAATACACATTTTCTGTTGGTGGTGTTCCTGCTGGGGCGAACACAGCTCTGAGGGGTTCCTAGATACACATCATTATCTAAATATACTTCTTTTTTTTTTTTTGCTTGGAAAATTAGCGTTGTATTAAGGTTTGTATGTTTAAGCGTTGTTTGTGTTGCATTTGAAGAATACTTTGTGAGCTAGTAATGGGTTGTGACGCTGCACGCGAGGCAGTTGTGGTGATTGTTGTGGAATTATATAGTGTGTCTTGCCGGCTGGTTCGGTGGCTGGTTGCTTGCCTGCTGGCTCAATGGCCGGTTGCTTGCCGGCTGGCTTGGTAGCCGGTTGCTTGCCGGCTGGCTGGCTGGCTCAATGGCTGTCTCCTTCACCCTCATTCTCGCTTTGAATTTCTCCTGTTGGCCCTCTTCGTGGTTTCCTTTGTCGAATATTCCCAACTCTTGATGCTTTATTTGGCTTCACTTATTTTATTTTCACACCACCTTACCTCTAACTCTCTCTCTCTATCCATTCCTCTCTCCCTGATCATCATCATCTTTCACTCTCTCCCTCCTTCCCTCTCTCCACGCTTTCCTTCCTTCTTTCCCCCCCCCCCTTCTCCCTCTACTTTCTCTCTCTGTGTCGGAGTGTATTGGTTGAGAGATGGGAAATATGTGGGACTCCCATTTCCCACATTAATTACGGGTGAAAAGGTAAGTGACGTGGCAGAAATTATATCGTGAATGTCTACGAAAGTCTGCCACAAATAGCAAAGATTTTTTTGCAATTTTCTTCTTTTTAAGAAATCATTTAAGGTTTAAAGACTACAACATTAAGCTCCCTATAAAGGCCATCACAACACTGTTACCAACAACAATATCAGTTGTGTTGAACTAAACAACATTGGCCACAGTCGTGTCTGGTACGAAATACAACACAAGTGTAGAGTATCCAAACTATATAAATTGTTAATTGTGTAATACAGTTACACACACACAATGTGCCAAACTACCAGGTACTGTAAGGAAAAGAGGAATGGCTAATACCTCGTCTTGTGTGTCTATGTGTGTATTAACACGATGTACTGAACGGGGTGAGAATAGCTTGAGCTACCTCATCCTTTTGTGTGTATTTTACATCAGTAAACTTATTTCAATTTCAATTCAATTTCAATACCTCGTTATACTGGATTTGTGATGGTGATAATAACCTCTTTCTGAAAACAGCAAATTTGTTGAAAAATATCTCCTGAAGAGGAGAGACAGCACTTCGTTACAGCGTGCTCAGATATTGCAGAGAACTGCAAAGGTGGAGGTACAGGCAGTCCAGGTGTGTGGAGACACAGATGGACTACGAAACGAACACACAGTGGTAGAGAGTACTAATGAACACAGTGTGAACACAGACCCAGACACACTACCAGACGCAACACAAAAGGAAGTTAGCGAGCAACAACAGAAGTCTGCAGGATCCCCTCCTACACCCATCAGCAAAGAGCCAACACAGACTATAGTAGAGATAAACAATGACAAACAAAGCATGAACGTGGAACTTACTGATATTATGCACAGGGAGGATGTAAATACGGGCTGTCAGGAAGAACAAATGGAACATGCAAATACAACCACCCAAGAAACTGCAGAAATACCTTAAATACAGGAGCGTGTCGCTCTGATAACTGCGAATGCTTCCACCCGAAACGGTGTACAAATTCGCTAACTAATAAGGATTGTTTTAACAAACAATGCCGAGATTTTCATATCAGAGTAACAAAGCTAATATAACCAGAAGAATCGCCATTGTGACTACAGCAACACCCATACATACCAGGGGATTTTTTTTAGTATGAGAAAGAGAGAAAGAATGGCAAGAAGTGATCCAACTGTACCGTCAACTCTGTCAGATGATAAACAGCACACAAATAATGAGGCAGCCTCACCAGCATCAACTGGTAGTAGGCATCCATCAGACTCAGGACTCACCAGAACCATCTGGTAGTAGGCATCCATCAGACTCAGGACTCACCAGAACCATCTGGTAGTAGGCATCCATCAGACTCAGGACTCACCAGAACCATCTGGTAGTAGACATCCATCAGACTCAGGACTCACCAGAACCATCTGGTAGTAGGCATCCATCAGACTCAGGACTCACCAGAACCATCTGGTAGTAGGCATCCATCAGACTCAGGACTCACCAGAACCATCTGGTAGTAGGCATCCATCAGACTCAGGACTCACCAGAACCAACTGGTAGTAGGCATCCATCAGACTCAGGACTCACCAGGACCAACTGGTAGTAGGCATCCATCAGACTCAGGACTCACCAGGACCAACTGGTAGTAGGCATCCATCAGACTCAGGACTCACCAGAACCAACTGGTAGTAGGCATCCATCAGACTCAGGACTCACCAGAACCATCTGGTAGTAGGCATCCATCAGACTCAGGACTCACCAGGACCAACTGGTAGTAGGCATCCATCAGACTCAGGACTCACCAGAACCATCTGGTAGTAGGTATCCATCAGACTCAGGACTCACCAGAACCATCTGGTAGTAGGCATCCATCAGACTCAGGACTCACCAGAACCATCTGGTAGTAGGCATCCATCCATCACCAGAACCATCTGGTAGGTCAGTCTGGTAGTAGGCATCCATCAGACTCAGGACTCACCAGAACCATCTGGTAGTAGGCATCCATCAGACTCAGGACTCACCAGAACCATCTGGTAGTAGGCATCCATCAGACTCAGGACTCACCAGAACCATCTGGTAGTAGGCATCCATCAGACTCAGGACTCACCAGAACCATCTGGTAGTAGGCATCCATCAGACTCAGGACTCACCAGAACCATCTGGTAGTAGGCATCCATCAGACTCAGGACTCACCAGAACCATCTGGTAGTAGGCATCCATCAGACTCAGGACTCACCAGAACCATCTGGTAGTAGGCATCCATCAGACTCAGGACTCACCAGAACCATCTGGTAGTAGGCATCCATCAGACTCAGGACTCACCAGAACCATCTGGTAGTAGGCATCCATCAGACTCAGGACTCACCAGAACCATCTGGTAGTAGGCATCCATCAGACTCAGGACTCACCAGAACCATCTGGTAGTAGGCATCCATCAGACTCAGGACTCACCAGAACCATCTGGTAGTAGGCATCCATCAGACTCAGGACTCACCAGAACCATCTGGTAGTAGGCATCCATCAGACTCAGGACTCACCAGAACCATCTGGTAGTAGGCATCCATCA